AAACATGTAAAATACAGGTCTATACTCTAGCTTCACTCACCATAAATTGCTGGCTCCTGCCTCTCATAGTCTTTATGTAATTTCAAAAAAAGTGGTGGTCTTTGTTACCCCAGCTCTTGGGGTAACTTAGACCGGGTGGTAAAATCAATTATATTTTTTGGTAAAATAACTCCAGGTTTTGATGCATTGTACATAGTAGAACTCTTCTAGATACATATGCAAATGACAAACTTGAAGAAAGTGTCATAGTTTGCAAATGGGAGGCACTGCCCCATAATGAGGGAAATGTGACTACCTAATGGCAGCCCTGATGAGGTAATATTGACTGGCTTGGAAATTAAGTTAAAATTACCATATATAAGACTCTGTAGAGTCTGAAACATAAAGAAAAAACATAAATAGGCTGTCAAACATAAAATATGTTATATATGGTAATTTTATATTAACTCCCAAGCCGGTCTATGTTACCCCGTCAGGGCTGACATTAGGTGGTCTAAGTTACCCCATTTGGGGGCGGCGCCCCCCATTTGCAAACTATGACACTTTCCTAAAATTTGTCATTTGCATATGTAACTAGAAGAGTTCTACTACAATGCACCAAAACCTGGAGTTATTTAACCAAAAAATAAAAAAATTGGAGGGGGTACTCTGACAGGCTTTAAATAATAGCTTTTTTTCGTGGGTCACATTTTTAATTTTTTAACCTATTAGATATGCAAACTTTTCAAATCTTTCTATTGTGTTATGTAGCCTCAGTATTAGGCCTTTAATGCCCATTGACAAAATTTTTCTATGTCAAATAGTTTTTGAGTTGTGGGGGTTTTTGTTAAAAAAATGAAAAGTGGTCTAAGTTACCCCGCCGGTCTAAGTTACCCCATTTTACGGTACTATTTATCAACTGTAGGAGATGATAGAATATGCACGGTTAGTCTTTCACTTGTGCTAAACCTGTCATATATGAGTCTTGGAAAATTATATTGATGCTCATTGAGAATCATGGAATTTTTTTTTCTAAATACCAGTATGAACCCTGTAGAAGCCTCTGAAAGCATTTGCCTGAAATAACTGGCAGTCAATTTTTGGATTGGTCAAGGGTGCTTTTTTGATCCATAACCTTCTGGATTAGCAAAAAATATAACTCAGTACTCACTGCAGTGAGTGACAGCGCGCATTTTCTCGTCGACGAAAACTTGAGGTCACTGACAGATGAACGGACATGGCGAGCACAATAGTGCATTTTTTCCATAAATGAGAAAACTCACTAAAAATGATAGTAAAATAGTTTGTGAGTGTTGTATTTCCTTTGCAATGTCCTGTTGGCTTCTACTGTATTCTGCTAAGGGCAAAATCTGCACCTTCTTGGCCACTGAGTCTTGTCCTCTTAGGCATCTCTTTTTCTTGAAAAAATAGAAATGAGGACACAACTGCACAAGAAGTACCCTAAATGGCAAAAATTAGGATATTCTTCATGTTGCTGTACTTTTTAATGTTCATTTCTAATTGTAATGCCTTCCTTGAAGGATGCTTTGCCTAGAACGGTTCAGCACTAGTTACACTGTGCTGAACCTGCCGGACGTTACCCGCACAGGAAATTAAGAGATCGGAAATGAATCAAACTGGATCAAGTGAATTTATTTGATACGGCAAAGAATACGGACATTACAACAGTAATAATAGTAATAATACCCTTGGCAACGTGAGAACCTCTTGGAGAAGTATATTTTATAAGTGACCATGATGAGGCAAATAATAGTACAATATTACCATTTATGCAAATTAACAAAGAGACCTATGTTAGAGACCTAAATCTTCACTAACCTGCTGTTGTGGATTGGCTGGGCTATACTGACTAAGGGACAAATAGAACACGAAGTAAACTTCCTAACGGTGTTGCCAAGTCAGAGGAAAAAGGCTATATTTATTAAAAGTTGTAATTTCTAGGTTCCCTACAACACCTCCTGACATACTGAGCTCTAGGTTTAAAAGTAGGTTCGATAATTTTATCCTAATAAAGTTGCTTTGTTTGATATTGAAGTAACTGAACAGTTGCAATTATTGATTATATCTGAAAAAATATAACTCAGTACTAATTACAGTGAGTGACAGAGAGCACATTTTCTCATCAACAAAAACTTGTCACGGACGGACAGACAGACAGACCTGGCGAGCACAATAGTGCATTTTTTCCATAAATGAGAACATGCGCCAAAAACACAAAAAATGAATACATAATACAACTTTGGCAAGGTTATGTCAAAAATCACAGAATCTCAAAAATACAACAAAAGCTTATGAACTAGGAAGACTGAACAGGTTAAGCTACCCTGGTCGCAGACAGAGTTGAAGTGGCCGGCGGAGGTATGATGTGTCCGTAAATTGCTTATTCTAGGAAGTGTTGCCATATGGGCATTTTGCACTACATAATCTCTAAATTATTGAGCTGTGGCTACACTAATCATATTAAAAATATATATTGTACTTTTTTCATTGGAACATTTTAAATGTAGCTCAACCTTATATAATTTAGAATCTCGGGTTTCTTTATGCAAAAAAAAATAGTTAGAAAAAACTGGGTGGTCGTGTAGCCATTTTATGCTCTTAGTGTTGTCTGGATTTTCATCTAGCATTCACCAGAACTGCCAACACCAAAGATTTCTTTCTATATACACCTGTAAATAAACATTGAAATACATTGGTAAGATCTTCAGAAGATGTAAATTCTTATGCTGATATCACCTACATTATTCAAATTTGTATTCACCCATCCTTGGTGGAATTTTAGGATTGGGGGTACTACCATTAGGTCTTACCAGATTTGCCATACGTAGGTATTTTTATTTAAATTTACTAATTTCATCATCAACACAAAATGAGGATGGGGTGGACTCTATATTTTTCCCTCATTACTGCATAGTGATTAGGTTATGGAAACTTAACATACATGGAAAAGATAATCCAAACAAAATCAAAATTAAAAATTTATCAGTTTACATCCCTGAAATCTCCTGCCTGTACCAAAAAAGTCAATCTGTTTCAGTTAAATTGAGTAGCATGACTGTTGAAGATGACAGTACCTTGTGGCACATGATGGCAGCTGTATTTCTAGCGGCCGTAATATTAGAATATTAACGAAAGTCAGAATTACCTGTGCTGCAGTAAATAGGACAAATTTCCATTTTGCCCTTTCACCTATTAGGTTTCCCTATTACATGCAATTTATTACCAACAATGGGCATCATAACGCAGTTACTTACAATCGACTCAAAATATTGCCCAAAAAACATGTTGAATGAATCTCGCATTACATTTTTTCAATTTACTATTTTACACACTATTATTGTATTATATAGTGTGACTGTGTGACACCATTTCTTTTGTTCTTGCATAAACTAACTTCAACACTGTATGAAACAATAACAAGAATTCACTCACTAAAGTGACTACTATCTTACTACATACTACTGCTAAATAAATAGAAGATCTACTTGTGCCTTTCTAGCATAACTTAAACATAACCTAAACTAGGTCATTTGATACAATCCTCATGTTGAGAAATTTTATACCAATTGAATTTAGATCACCAAACATTAGTGTTTATTCAATTTACAACCTTTATTTTCTTTCTTTTGACAATGATTTTTCAGATTGACAGTGACAATGAAGTCAAGACAATGAAGTTTGTGCCTGCAGATATACTTAGATTGATATTACTCAATTCACCTCCTTTATTAGAATATCAAAATAAAAAAGCTAGGAATCCAAATATCCAAAAAATTACCCAATAGGTTGTTTTTACAAAAACGTTTTTTTTTAATTTTTGCATAATTCACTTCCTATGGAAAAAAATAGCAATTTGAGCCTGAAAATTATATTAAGCATCTATATACCGTAAAATGGGGTAACTTAGACCACTTTTTTTATTATAAATGATGCCATTTTTTACTAGCTAAATTAAATTTTAATTGAAACGTGCAAAATACAGGTCTATACTCTAGCTTCACTCACCATAAATTGCTGGCTCCTGCCTCTCATAGTCTTTATGTAATTTCAAAAAAAAAGTGATGGTCTTTGTTACCCCAGCTCTTGGGGTATCTTAGACCGGGTGGTAAAATCAATTATATTTTTTGGTAAAATGACTCCAAATAGCTTCAGGTTTTGGTGCATTGTAGTAGAACTCTTCTAGTTACATACGCAAATGACAAACTTGAGGAAAGTGTCATAGTTTGCAAATGGGGGGCGCCGCCCCATAATGAGGGAAATGTGACTACCTAATGGCAGCCCTGATGGGGTAATATTGACTAGCTTGGAAATTAAGTTAAAATTACCATATATAAGACACTGTACAGTCTGAAACATAAAGAAAAAACATAAATAGGCTGTCAAACATAAAATATGTTATATATGGTAATTTTATATTAACTTCCAAGCCGGTCTATGTTACCCCGTCAGGGCTGACATTAGGTGGTCTAAGTTACCCCATTTGGGGGCGGCGCCCCCCATTTGCAAACTAGGACACCTTCCCAAAATTTGTCATTTGCATATGTAACTAGAAGAGTTCTACTACAATGCATCAAAACCTGGAGTTATTTAACCAAAAAATAAAAAAATTGGAGGGGGTACTCTGACAGGCTTTAAATAATAGCTTTTTTTCATGGGTCACAATTTTAATTTTTTAACCTATTAGATTTGCAAACTTTTTAAATCTTTCTATTGTGTTATGTAGCCTCAGTATTAGGCCTTTAATGCCCATTGACAAAATTTTTCTATGTCAAATAGTTTTTGAGTTGTGGGAGTTTTTGTTAAAAAAAACAAAAAGTGGTCTAAGTTACCCCGCCGGTCTAAGTTACCCCATTTTACGGTACAATATTATAAGGATAATGTTTTGGTAAAGATTTGTGTTTTTTTAAATCTGTGAAAAAATTTTTTTGAGAGGACAGGCATTGTACATTATTGCCCTGATTGTAAATGTGTATTACTGAGCTGTTTCTTCTTTTGTGCAGCCCTCTTGTTGTATGAGTACTAAAGCAGAAAAACCTGTGCTCCAAGGGCAGCGAATAAAAACACGGAAACGTGATGAAAAAGCAAAATTTGACCCAATCGGTTTTAGAGACAACATCCTCCAGGTGAGACCCTCTTACTCCTATGATTCAAATGAATCTTTTGAACTATTGTACTCTCTAGTAGTCTACTCGGTTGTATTTTCATACAATTTTACTGCATACTAAAAACTAGTTTTTTACTTTTTAATATGAATAGGTACATATTTATTTGGAATGTATTCTACTGTGAATTCAGTGATTTGGAATTACACCAATTTAGGATTTTGGCAGAATTTCTGTTTCAACGTATGTATTATGTGAGAGTTTGAATTGAATCTTACATGTGAAGTAAAGCTCTGATTTTGTGATACTGAGGCCAATGAAATGCTTAGGTTCTTGGTTTATCACTTTTTTTGTCAGTATTTTAATGCTAGCAGTCAGCCATATATATTGCTTAAAATAATGGCTTTAAATTCTGAACAAATCTAGCACTGACATGAAATTGAGTCCTGAATGTTAGTCTGTTCATGTTTGAGATTCAGGAGTGAATTTCTTGCTTGCTATTTTATTTCATTTCAGAGCAACTGGAGCTGCTTTTTTTTAACTAGATGAACACATATTTACAGCGCCCTGCTTCTAATTCACAACATGAACACATATTTACAGCGCCCTGCTTCTAATTCACAATATTGATTTTGGAATAGATTCATTTTGAATGCTAGCACTATAAACTATTATACAACCATAAAAAAATTGCGCTTGGTAATGATGAATGAGTGTGGAGATAACAAGTATAAACAGCATGTATGTGATTGAGTATCATAATAATTGATAGCCATGGAATGTCCTTATTTGATGGCATAATTTCTGCAAATTGCTTCGTGTACGATAAATTTCTACTTGTATATATAGACTTGGTTTCCAGCCTTAACCATGCCATAAATGCCCTGTTGTTCAACTCAGTTGTACTTTATTCAGCAAACCTAATGAATCTATAATCAGAACTGATTCTAATATGCCTTCATTATCCAAGTCCTTTATATCTATTGGTGCGTATTTATACTCGCCATTCTATTTTTTTGGTTGGAATCATCTTCTTTTATTCATGCATTCAATTAGTTGTGTGCTTGGACCTGCTATACCAAGGCAAGGTGGTCTGAAATTTCTAGTTATTTTAAGACTAGTAACATGATTTATAATCTCCATGTTAGTGCAGACTTCCTATTTACAGTGGTATGATAGTTTTGCATGGTGAGTTCAGAAACTTGTAATAAAAGCAACTATGCAAAGGTAACATATGCCTTTCTTTTCCAGGGTTTTGCTGGCATTGGCGGTTCTGATATAGAAGCCATTCACAAATACCTGGACGCTGCTGGGTCGAAGCTTGACTACCGTACCTACGGCGAGGCTCTCTTCGACATTCTCTTGGCTGGTGGTATCTTAGGTGCGTGGCCCATGCTTGATAAAACATTTCCTTTGTCTTAAAAAAATTCATTATGCTGGATGAATTAATTGGATCAGTCTCTTTTTGCATCTAGAATACTGTTGAATGGTTCAAAGTGTTGCTTCATTCAGTTTTTCAGCTTGTAACAAGATTCATTGTTCATCAATCATTTTTGGTAATACCTCCTAATGTGTTGTTTGATAAAATTATGCAGAGACACACGGTAAAATTCTTATTGAAGATATTTACTTTGTCCTGGAATTCGTTATTAGTCAAGTGGCATTCAAATGACTTGTGTGTTTCATTTTAACACTGAAAGCTAGCATTTCTTATCCAGGTTACCTAGATAGTCGATCGATAATAGTTTTTAAAGCTAATTGACTACCAGCCGTACACTCCGATGCCGGGTGGTAACTGTCATACCTACTCCTGCTTGTGGAAGGCTAGGGGGTGTAAGATGGAGAAGCCACTGCCAGTGAGAGGAGGTAGGCAAAAGCAGGGATAGTGGCATAATAGGTTGTAGCCCCCTCGGGGCTATAGCACAGGGGTGGGACCTTGAAGATCGTAAGAAAGAAGCGCCACTGGAAGGTTACGGTTGGGAGGGGGGCTCGTGGCGTGGTAGCGCGGGAGCCAGACTCCCTCAGGAGCTGTTGCCTCTTTGCTCAGTCTTCTCATAGGTTGCCTCTGTCACCTCGCCTCTCATTATGCTGTCCGAGACGGTCTGGTACGGCCTCAACTGTGTCTACAAAGGCAAGCAAGTTGGCGTAGTTAATGTTGTTGAACTAGCGATAGGAAAAAAGAAAGATGTCAAAATAGACAATCGGTTGGACTAGAGCGCGTTTTTAGGTGTCCAGAAGAGGGCGTTCACTGATGACGGTGAGATCATGTGAAGAATAAGATGCACCAGATTAGAGGCTAGGCAGAGTGTCTTCATCGCGAATACAGAAAGAGGAGGCAGAGATAACCATTCGTCGCGGCTATCTCATCTGTCGGGAGTACCAGGAACGCTTGATAGGCTTTAAAGCCGCCCGCGATAAGGCAACCAACTGGGATATCGTGAATTCCTTGAAGGATCGAGTCTGTATCGGGGGCAGGAGGTTGTCAGACAGTCAGACTCGAGCTGTATGTACGGGCCAGTGACACATTGGAGTGATGATGTAACTTCTATACTGAACTCGCCATTAAGGAGGTGTTCATTATCTCGCTGTGGGATGTCATCATGAACGAAGAGGATTAAACCTCCAAGTGACACTTGGGTGTAGGGTCTTCATGCGGTCACTAAATTTTCTGAACGCAGACGATAGTGCCAGTAGCCGAGCTCTAATTTCTGAGGTGATCGCTTTATTTTTGCTACTTTTTATCAATTGAAGTCGATCCAATATTTGCATTTTAATGCGTTTTGCAGCTCCTGGCGGTGCCGTGAGCGAGGATGGGGCAGAATCGGGGCCGGTGCGCACGACCGTGTGCGTTTTCGGCGCGCCTGCGGCCGACATCGAGACGCTGCGCCCCTACGCGCAGCTCTTCGTGCGTCTGATGCGCCGTTACAAGTACCTCGAGAAAATCTTCGTCGAGGAAGTGAAGAAGGTTAGTAGATTCAATTTACCTTCTATATAAATTCCGGTCGCTTGATTTCTTCATCTTATTCATTGTAGGTGGTATTTTGTCTCTTAATGAACTTTTATCTATGCCATAAATTTTAAAACCATATTCAGGTGTCGCGCTCTTTGATAGTGTCTTCTGCATAGCCTAGCCGGCGGTACCTTTCTCTACCCCAAGAGATGCGAATTATCAGGACTCGGCAGCGTTTTCCCTCCATTATAGAGTGAAGGAAAACTCCCTTCTCTATGCTGCAAAATAAGTGCTTTACGCCTGGCCACATTTCATTTCGAGACGATACGCACTAGCATTTATTCCCTGTTCTCATTTCCATCTTATGCTTCATGCTAAGTCTCTTGGCAAGGTGGCTACTTCGTTAGGGCTTCAGGCGGCGTACCTAGTCTGGCAGTCAACATGGTGTTGGAAGCTTTTCTGTAATTGAAAGGGACCTCAAATAAGAGTTTGGAAATTTTTTGACTTGTGATTACCGTTAGTGCCACAAATGTTCATTGAGCAGCTCCTGTAGTAACGGTATTCACACCCTTGCTTGTTGAGCTGTCCATGCTGCAATACCGTTATTCACACACCTGTTAATTGAGCAATCCACGTTGTTTACCGTTACGTAATCACCTGTTTGCTGAGCAGTCCATGCTGTAACACCGTTATATAATCACCCGTTTGCTGAGCAGTCCATGCTGTTGTTATATAATCACCTGTTTGCTGAGCAGTCCATGCTGTAACACCGTTATATAATCACCTGTTTGCTGAGCAGTCCATGCTGTAACACTTATTTTTTTTTTTTCAAGCTACAAATAACTTTGTGCAGTCCATGCTGTTTTTGCGTGGTTTCTCTGCCGGCGACCGCGATCGCCTCGCTATCTGCATCGCCATGTGGGCCGTGGACGGCGTCGTGCAGCCCACCGTGCTCTCCAACCTCATCCAGGAGCACCTCGTCAGGGAGGGCATCGCTGTTGATTTTATTTGCAAGGTTAGTCACTTAGGTGACGAACAAACGTCATGAGGCTTAAAATTTTTCTAGTGTGGCTAGGTGGACTTGATGGAATGGGCTGGCCTTTTCATATTTATAAGACACTTGCCGCGATGAATTTCGTCAGTGAGCTTCTCTGTTATCCGTGTTGATAGGAAGAACTAAAAATTTATCTTCAATTATGACACATATTTCTTTAATAAAGTTGAATGCCGATTTACATAGAGTAGCACCTCCTAAAGTTTTCAGACTACAATCCGATCCTTCTTTTGATCCGCTGACAATCGCAGTTATAATTAATTTCAATTTTGAAATACCCGTAGTCTTGTAATGTTGTGCATCCATCAGGTGTTGCTGACTGTGGGCAGCCTGAAAGACAGCTCGCAAGTGACGATATTCCTGCGTAAAGCTAAGCTGGAGCGACGCATCATGGAGTTTTTGCCGGCCAACAAGCGCACGCCCGAGTATTTCAGCAACCTCTTTGAAGAAAAAGGCTTGGGTGAAATCGTGAAGATGCAAATGAGTCTAAAGAAAGAGAACGGCGTGATGAGCCTCCAGCGCTACCTCACCCAGCATCTGCATGACAAGACTCCTATCAAGGACATCAGTTTGAAACTCACGCAGCTCTCCGAGAAGCATAACATTGGGGAAGCCACTATCATTGCCACTGTGAGTAATACTGTCACAGCGCGGCGTAAGTCGGTGATTGTGAATGATGTTAACGCTCGTTTCATTCAACTGCGATGTTGAAGGTTTTAATTATATGCTTCAAGTATTTCCTAAGGGTTATGTGACCTAGCGCAAGATTGATAACTACATGAATTAATTAGCGCAGTTAACTAACCATGGAGCATTAAGGTCTGCTGTGAGCTCCTATCTACATTTCACTATCGCAATTTTACTAGTTTTGGTCTGGATACAAGGTTTCGTACAATCGTGGAAATATTGAAATTTCAAGTTTTGCCAGCGCTATTTTGTACCTGCAGGTGTTTAAATTTGATCGGACTAAGGGTTAACCAAGTCTTTCCATCTTGGGGTAAATATATGCTTTTTGGTGCAACTGTAAATAAAGGTATATGCAAAATAATTCATAGATGCGGAAAATGGGTAAAACTTTTTTATTAATTGTGGCCAGGTATTATAAATTGTGGACGAAGTAATGAAGGTTGTTGTGTGGCCAGGTATGGAGCAGTGTGATGGCTGACGTTGAGTGGAACAAGAAAGAAGAGCTGGTCGCTGACCAGGCACTCAAGCATCTCCGTGTGTACACGCCGCTCTTCCGCGCCCACACGCAGACTGCGCGCTCAGAGCTTCATCTTCTCGTCAAGGTCCAGGAGTTCTGCTACGACAACATGAACTTCATGAAAGTTTTTCAGAAAATCGTTCTACTTTTCTACAAGAGTAAGTGCAAGTTTGCCTACTCTGCAAATTTTGAAACATGAGATCATGCTTCAAAATATAACTCGCCCTGTTTTTGATCAACAAAATGACCTGTTTTTCAGCCCGTGATTATGCTCCTCCAGTGGAACCGTCTCTTATTTTGCTCGAAATTAATTTTCAGTAATAACTCCATTTTAACATCGTACTTTCTCCTGTTTAAACCTATAAAATGGCTGTCTTGGTTTTGCCTTGCAATTTCTTATTCCATGCCATGTATGTGCAGGCGAAGTGCTCTCTGAGGAAGTAATCCTGAAGTGGTACAAGGACAGTCACTCCGCCAAAGGCAAGACTGTCTTCCTCGATCAGATGAAAAAATTTGTCGAATGGCTACAAAATGCGGAAGAGGAGAGCGACGAGGAATCCGACGAAAAGGAGGACTGAAATTCTTTGCCTCAATTGGGTCGTATTTCTTAAGCAATCCATCTCCAGATTTTGATACAAAAGATCCTTGATGAACAACTTCGTCTCGCTTTGTGTGCGAGCTGAGGTGTTTTCCACAAAATCGTCCGTTTGCCTACCACATCTCGTGTTTTGCTCGCTTGCCCTTTCTCATTTTTTAGTATCCTGCTATGCTTGCTTCTTGTCTGCTCTGGTGCGTGTATATTTTGTGGTCCACTAACCTCACCTCTGCATCAAAATCTCGTATGCTGTGTATTGTGTTGCGGAAACACGACCGTTGCTCACGACTCAGTCAGCGTGTATGTATAGAGCTCCTGTGACCTCTGTTTGTGCACACGTTTGATGTTGCTGACGCCAGTTCTATTTTTTCTCTGACGCAGGAGCCGACAAACCTTAATTCGTAGGAAGCGTCAGTTTTGCGTCCCTGTTGATGAAGTTTGTAACTCCCTGTGATTTATATCTAGAGGTCTTTACGTAAGCTTCGGGATTGAATAGATAAAAGGCAGAAGTATTTTCTTGTGTACGGGTGACTTTTGACTGTCTTGCTTTTAATATTTTATCAATTAGATGGAAACCTAATTATTTTTTAGTTTACGTCAATAAATTCACATTTCTAAGCCTGCTTTCATTCTCACCCGGATTTTGTTAGACCGCTACCTCTTCCCAACGGATTGGTGATGAAGCATCAAGTTACCGAGTGAGAGGAATCCACTAATGGAAATGAAGCTCAATCTGACGACGGAGGGCTCGGTTTCCGAAGACCGTTCACTTCAGCTCGGGGGCCAGGACAATCGTCGAATCTGCATGCCATGGGAATAAATGTAAATGAGAAACGGGTATCGACAGACTTTATTTCGTTTCATTAGAAGCTTGATAATTCGACGATTCTGTCTTTAAAGACATAGACTCCGAAGTGGTACATATGCCTACCACGAAATGTATTTCTCCAGGATATGTTGGTGCATAATTCAGGGTTGCAAGATGGCCTAAAAAATGGCCAAATCCGCGAAGAAACTAACTATAATTCAATATATACAGGGTGCGCCACAGGAACTTACTTATTTGAAAGGTCAATAAAAACAAAAGTACTTCAGTTATTGTTTTAAATTTTTTTTTATTCGAGAAAACAGTATCCCAAATTTTTTTTCATACAGTTTTGAAAATTAAATCTCATGAATGACGGCCTCCATTGTGCATAAACTAATGAAGTCTCTTTCCCCTTCAGATGCACCTCCTCTCGCCCCTCTACCCGACCAACTAACCGCACAGGAATTTTTTCAAATAAGTAAGTTTCTGTGGCGCACCCTGTACTAGTATATATGTAGGTTCCGGTGTGAAAATTCAATTTCTATTGTTGTAAAATTTAATTAGGAAGTAGCCCTATCATAAATTTCAGCCGGCCAGCGCGCTTAAAAAAAATAATTCGTGGAATTAGTCCTGAATAAAACCGTGAGGCAACCCTGTGGTCATAATAGAACATGGAATGAAAATAGTACAAGGTGAAACAATTGGGGTCAACGTGTTGATACGCCGCGTGGTTTATACCAAATTCAGATGATGTTTTAGAGCTTATAGATTCGTAACCGCTATGAGGATTATTCGCCTTAATTTATGTTAGTGTCGGGTCTGAAGTTATCGAGTAAACGCATATCAACCTGCTATATATAAACATGCTCCGGTCATGACAAAAATTTCTTTCTACATGAAACCTGGCGGAGGACCATGTTAAATAAATGTTTCGAACACGGATTGGAGATGGCGAAAGTGTGAATATTGAGCATCTTGAATGATGGTGCTTGTTTCAGAATTCAAATTAATGAGGACAACAAGTAACTGCTTCGGGCCTAAACCCGTAGCTGGAATTATTGGATTAAAAAATTTCAAATGTTTATGCACTAAAGTATCAAGGCTATATGCATAAGGCATGTCGCTGAGTTAAACCACCCAGCAACCTTCTGAATTTCAATAACTTTTCGAACACTCAACTCGCGGCTCAACCATGGGGGTCCTAAAACACCCGACCGTGCCGAGATTGGAGAGGTCAAAATTATCACGAGTTCGCTCAGCCGTACGTCACTCTCCAGGAACATAACTTTCAATTTAAATTATACGTAAACTATTTAGTGTAGCAACGTGGACGTTTGTACCCAACAGGGAACATTTTAAAATTGAACGTAACGGCAACCATCAGTGCAAGTCATTTTGCGCTCACTTGATCGTATGCTTTTTTGGAAGTAGGCTTGCGACAGTATTGCTCCTCCGATTCCTCATGTCAGGAGGTGGAAGGTTAAATCCATAATCGTTCATCACCCAATCTGTGCGGAAGGTCTCAAATGACCGTCTCCCTGTAGTTAACATGAAAGGAGAAGCATTAGATAGTCCCAAAGATACGATCCGAGTTTAAAAGTATAAATAATTTGCGTTTAAAAATTACTCATTAAAGACAACACTTCTAAAGAGGCCGGTGACTCCTATGCTACACTTGTGCAATTTAATTTCTTATTTATTTTCATATATTAAAATAATTATTTTTTAAATTTTTGCTTCAATATTAAAAACAAATAATTTTTTAAATTACTTATTCTATTTTATAATATTCTATATTACTTATTCTTCTATCTAATTTCAGATCGATTGGACAGGCAGAAGTGTGTTAAATATCGATTATGAGATTTGTAGCTGACAAACAAACAACAAGAAGTGAAGTAATAATATACGTTTAAAAATTACTTTTTAAAAACAACACTTCCAAAGAACCCAGTGTCTCCAATCTTACAGATGTACCTACAATGAATTTCTCATTTAATTTTCGCATATTAAAAAAAATTAAATTTTCAACTTTTTTAATATATAATTTTTTTAATATATTAATTTTTTCAAAATTATGTATTCTATTGATTGATTCGTGCATTGCCTCTGACTTCACACAAGTGTACAAAATTTCAGATCAATTATACAGGTAAAAGTGTGTCAAATATCAGTAATAAGATTTGTAGCTGACAAAATTATTTTTCCAATTTTTTTTTATATTTAAAAAAAATATAATTTGTAAAATTATTTATTTTGACATTTGATTCATGTATTGTCTCCAACTTTACACAAGTGTGCAAAATTTCAGATCGATAGGAGAAGTAAAAGTGTATTAAATTTCGATTACAAGATTTGTCGCAGACAGACAAACAAACAAACAAACAGACAAGAAGTGAAGTTAAAGAGAAGTGTTGTAAAAGAGAAGTGTTGTGATAAGAACGGTGAATGACTGAAGAACTCGTCGTAAAGACGTCGCTTAAAACCCATGGTGTCGGCCGCCCGCACGTATTACAGAGAAGTGAAATGTAAGAAATTTAACATTCATTGCAACTACAGCTGTAAACGCTTCGGTTTGCAATGGATTTGTGAATTATTTATTATCTAGTGTTGTTATTCTCTTGATCTCTCGTTATGGATTCTAACTGTGCAGTTCGTTGCCTCTACGAAGAACAAGACATTTAAGACAATACAATTCGTTGCGTATATTTTCATTTTCTACACACTAATGCGACAAGTGACAAATAAACGAGTCGTTGTAAGTGGCAGATAATTGCAATATTTCGTCATTAAATCATTTTTAAATGTTTGCCATTGGTTGCTAGGTGGTGAAATATCGTTATAGCTTTGATGCTGCCATAAAATTAGAATGTCCGTGATTACATGTTCGGTCTTGCCATTCACATTCTATTGTGCATTATCACTATGCCTACATATGTAGACTGCCGATCTACGGGATATCGGTACGTTAGCTTGACGCGCCTGTCGCGCCCATGATGTACGTAGGAATGCACTGTTAGTCCCGGTAGAAATTATACATAACGATGTCAGCGTATAAGATCATTCCAGTCACCGATTCGAGAGAGTGTGGATTTTTAACTGCAAACTGTGGATCTCGAACCCGCAACTCACTGCCCCGATCTTGCTGTTAGTTAGTTAGTTTAGTGGCCAAATGTTTACTAGCGCTTCAGCTATTTAGCTATCTCGCACCGAAAGTCAAGATGAACATCACCATAGAGGTGGAAGGTCTCAATTATTCATCACCCACAATGGGCGGAAGGTCTCAGATGTCCAGCCCGCAGAAGCTGACGTCTCGGACAAAAACGCGGCCTCTCTCACGGCCGGTCTCGCGGCCGTGATTCCAAATTCAGTGAGCGTGGAATATCTCGCAAAATACTGAACGTAGCTTGATGAAACTTGGTACACATAATCATTAGAGCCTAACGGGGATGTTTAGCTCGTGACAATTTTCAAAATTCGCCTTCATTCCTGAGTTATATGAATATACGTGGTGAAAATTGCAGTGAGCGTGACATTTCTTCTAAAGTACTGTACAGATTTGAATTAAATTTTGAATATAAATTTCTCAATACCCGACGGTGATGTTTAGCTCATGATATTTTTTTCACTTTTGCCTTCGTTTTAACTCAGGAATGAAGGCGAATTTTGAAAAATTGTCACGAGCTAAACATCACCGTTAGGCTCTAATGATTATGTGTACCAAGTTTCATCAAAATTATTTTTTAGCAGAAATGCATTATTATGTCTTAATTTACTATGATTTTGTGAAAGAAATATCAATAAAAAGTTGTTACGTAAAAGTTGTAAAAGTGTTACGAAAGCGTTCACCGCTGAAATCTTTATGGTCTGGACCACTCTAATAAATTTAATAAATTTTCAATTTTTTACCTATTAGTTTAAATTTTATTATTGGTTACTGAATAGGTTGGACCCTGATATCTGATAATAGTTCAACCGTCATCATTTGAAATATACTGCCTGCTATTAGTCGCCATCATTGATGCAGTCTGTGTCGCGACAATGTTGCCTCAGACCACGTGCATTGAGCTTGCGTAGCAATATTGCTGACCGAGCTGTCGAAAGAGTCAAAGAGTTAGCCTTTAGTCAGCGGTAAGCTTCCTTGTGGTGAGGTTGTGCAGTGTTGAAACCCTCGGCGTGCTAGTCTCTGCACAAGCTTCTTTAAAATTAGCGCACCTGTCCTCGTTCTTACAGTTCTTAGTTTGTTTCGTACTTTTTAAATTGCCTTCTAAATACTTTGAATATAAAAGATAGACATGAATAATAAAACTAAGCTTGTTGGTGTGCTGGATCTCGCCAAGGTAAGCGATCCATGTTAACTACTTTTGATGTATGCTTAACGCCTTAACCTAGCTAATCTTTAGCCTATTTAGGGCGTGCAATACGCTGAATGTTTAATTCATTGCCAAGTGTCTGAGCTGGGAGCTGTAGAAATAGCTACTTGGTTAATATGCTCAAAAAAAATATATCTGAGGCTAGTTAATAGAAAATGCGAGGTTTGATGGTTTGACCCTAACCGTCCGATTGATGATTTCTCTCCTTCAGTTGCACTGTTGCATCTATATTTAATTAACTTTTTGAATTAAAATGGTTGGTACCTACCTAGCTTATTGTTGAATCTTCCGTAAAATATTTTAATAATTTCAGGAAAATAATTTTTGGAGAATCTTAGGCATGGTTCATGGTTCTTTATGAACTCTATCATCGTTTCCGACGCGAAGCAGATCTGATTTTAATATTTTTCATGGTAGAACTACAAAGAATTTGAACAAT